GCTCTCCTTTCCAGTTTTTCAACTAGCTGGATACTTGGCAGTAAAAAAACCTAAGACCTGATCATTACTGAGGAAAATGTTATTTAAAAAAAAAACTAAACTGTGGCCGGAAGTGTCCAAATCTTTTGTTCATTCAGGTAAAGGTAAGCACACCTGAGTCCTCTTTATTTGATGACAAAAAGAGACACAACCCATGAGTGGAATTTGAGCAGCAAGAACAGACAGGAATATCTCCAAGTAACACGGCAAACAAAACTCAGGTCGGCACATCCTGGATGGAAAGAACAAGCCGAGGAGGTTCATCCTGATCTGGAAGCATAAATCCAGTGCAGTGATGAAGGGCAGCGCGGATTTTTTTTTATAAAACTTTGACACTTTCTCTTGTGAAGCTGGAAAGTGTCAAAATATTTCCAATCAGGGATCTCGTTGATTTTGCACAGAGGCACGATGTGTGGTCCTGTATGAGCTCATCTACGCAGCACATAAACATCTGACATTAAACTGCTCTGCGACGACTCAAACTTTTAGTTTCTCTTAAAAAAAGAAAACAAAAGACGTGTCCGTGTTTCAGCCTACAGCAGTACGAGATGTTAATAGAAGGCAGACTGCAGAGGTCTGCTGCAGTAATGTGCGAGCAGACAGCGAGCGCATCAGTGGATCAGCGGATTTTAGCCTGGAGGGCCCGTTTTTGGGAGGTCTGAGAAGCGGCAGGGTCACTATGAGCCCTTTTAAGGAGGAGCATACCAGAACCTCCTGCAGCTCCACAGACCCGCTGAGGGAGCTGCTTTGAAAACACTTCAGGAGACGACATCATAAAACAAGGCACTTAACATGGCAGAGGATCCATGAAGGTTACTCATAAATACTTGGATAATTCAAGGTTTCTGTGCACGCCTGGCAGCTTGTTTGGCTGAAAAAACTCTTGGCTTTGTTTGAGTCTTCTTTAAATTAAACACATAGCGTTTCTTAAAGTAATGCCACCTCCAGAGTTGGAATCATTTTAGTAGGCCTGTCACGATAACTAATTTTGCTGGGCGATTAATTGCCTCAGAAATTATTGCGATAAACGATAATATTGTTTGAAATTGGACAATAATTAGTAATTATTATCAAATTTAAGAAGAAATGTTGGTTAATTTGTTTTGAGTGTAGTGATGTATTTGACCACCAGATGGCAGCATAAGACTGCGCCGAAGGATGGATAGAGAAGGAGCGAGCAGCGTGTTTATAAGAAAAATGGGAGGGAGGCCCCTTGATGCGACATGGGCTGTCTCTCTTTCCTTTATTCAGTTCTCAAAATGGTGGAAGCTCGGTGGTTTGAGCTCTTTAGCATTTTTCACACAAAGCTTTTAATTAAAAAATCAGTAAACAAGTTCTCAGCCTACTTTTGCAGAGAAAAACAACTTTTTACATGAAGGCACGGGTTTCAACCGTGAATTTAGTAGCTTTGACAAGACGGCGGGTTTTTTTCCCAAGGTCGGTCTGTTAGCTTAGCTTGTAGCTTAGCTTCTCAGTTTAGCTGCTAAGAACGACCCAAAAAATAGATTTTTGGACGATTAAAATTGATTTTAAAGAGAAAAGGGCGGGGTCAGTGAACAGCATCGGAGTTTAGCTTTTTGTCATCCAGTGTCTTCAGTAGAAAGAGAGAGACGAAGAAACAATAAAGCCGATAAATGAAAATGAGGTCGATAATTTTCATTCATCATGCGATTAATTGATTTATCGCGACAGGCCTACATTTTAGTCAAACACTGAAAATAATATCTCATATAACGTTGTAGGATGTCACACTCAGATTATGTGTGATGAGTTACTCTCAGCTACTACAACATCAAATCCTAGCTCCAAATCAGTTAAACTGACTGATTTATAGACATGTTGTGGTTGCTAAAGTCTATTAGCTGTGGAGGCCATCTTGAACTGGACTGACTCCAAACATTAATCAGGTGCTGATGAACGTCCACTCACCATTTCCTGAAAGTTTTGTTACAATTTGTCAAGTGGTTCATGAGCTGTTTTGCCAAAAGAGTTGACTGCAAATAGCTAACAGCAACATTTTCAACAGAGCTCTTAAGCAACCTGTTAGCCCTTAGAATATATATCAGGGATCAGTCTCAGCTACTACCACAGTAAAATTTACGTTATTAGCTATAAAACTAACTGACTTGCAGCCATTTTTGTGCTTTTTAAAGTCACTTGGCATGCTCACATACAGACATAATTGTTGCCTTTTGGCAGTGAGTGATAAAAAATGATAATATTATCACTTGTTTTGGGTAAAGAGGAGTCTTAGGCTGCATATTGGACACTATTGTTTGGATTTATGCCTTTTAACATAGTTGTCTGTGGTTAGTTGGTTAAGCGTGGTAGAGGCTGTGTGCTTTTTCTCAGGCAGAGTAACACAACAGTATCATTATGTGCCAAGAGGGAAGGAACATTCCACAAACCTTTCAGAGTTTTACTCTCCCACAACCAGCCGAGGGTGGGGGGTGTTAACTTGTACGCAGACATGCATATGAAACAAATAAAGAGGAGCAAATGCAATATCTGGTCAACTAGACACACACGGCATTACAGAGGATGTGAGAGATCAGCTCGAATGTATGCAGCTTGTCGTCCAAAACTCTCAATAAATGAAACGTCAACAAAACAGAGAGCAGCAGCTTTCCCTGCACTTAACACAAACATCTGATGTGCATTATTCCTGAGAGAGCAACAGGCTGAGCTTTTTTTTTTAATAGACTGAGTTTCCTCTGCGCTGTTTGCTTGTGTTCATTAACAAATGCCTCTCAGGGGGGTAGCCAGTGAAGATTTGGAAAGAAAAACAGCCTATGAGTGTTTTTTCTTCTCAAGAATAAAAAGAAACGCCACAAACTAGACCCAGTATGACTTAAATTTGTGTATATATTGCCCTCTAGTGGACAAAGTATGAACAAACAGTTTTATCATTACAGTACACAAAAAACTTTTGGGAAACCCTTAAATTTAGAAAAGGTCGAATTATTTCAGGTAGGGGAAAAAAAGCTTTCTGTTAAAAACAGTTCCTTAACATTGGTAAGTTAAAACTTATTTAAAAAACATTTTCTAATTCAAAGTCTAGCCTTCCGTGAAGAAATAATGCATATTGCATGCCAGCTTTCAGGCCAGAGATGGAGATCACTGTTCTAATGGGGGTACATGAATCCTACAGGAAGAAAGCATCCGCTCAACAAAACAAAGCGTTGAACAAACACTCAAAAAAAATTAGATTTTAAAATTTTCCATTAAATAAAGCCCCAACCCCAACTGGGCTCTTGTCACAGGGCAGCGCCCATCAATCACTGTCAACCCCACTCTGGAAACGAACAATGGTAGAACAGTGGAAGAGAAGCTGCTGAAAACACAGCTGGGCTAGTGGTAAAGAAATATTATGTATTTAATAATGAAATATGAGACAAGATGTGGCCTAATAATGTAATAATTCAAAACTGTCAAGCTTGTTATCAGTAAGTTTTTAAAGGTTAGCATATAGAAACAATTAGTCAAATAACTGGCACATCGGTAAAGATACCCTATTAATAATGTACTCCATATAAAGAGCTTATCTGGCAACATGTTGGCATCCTGAGAGTTCAACAAATCACATCTTTCTTCGCATTACAGCCGTTCAGATATATAATAATCCATCTGCTGCACGGTCAGAGGGTACAGCTCGTAAACGCTAAAGAAAACTGAGCAAATTATTAGATTAAGTTTACAACAATGTCATCAAAAAAGCCATCGAGAATGAATAATCACTGAGCAGAGATGGAAGAGTATAAGACTGGAATCTGTCTCCTCAGTTTCCAAAATATTTGAAATAGATAAAGGAAAAAAAAATGATAAACATTTTAACACTTTTTGAAAATGTGTTCCTGACATCAACAAACTTGTAAACTTAGAAAAATATATGGAGCTTTTTCCTCTTTTGTTATTTTTAGCTTAAACATCCTAAACATTAAGAATACATTTTTTTTTTTTAAATGAACATGTTATTAACCCTTAATGCACTTGACAACAAAGGATTTGCTTGTTTTTTGTCTTCACATACCTTAATGACGAACTTAATTGGAGACATTTTAGTAACTTTCACCTGCAACAGAAACAAAAACTTGTGGAAAACTGACAAGTGATTACTGAATGCAAGACTTCCTTTGTTTTTTATTGCATTTTAATACATATTGCTTTACAATAAATATTGGTGACGGTGTACTTAAAAATACAAATACGTAATATTTCCTCACCTTTTTAGAAAATGTGAATTAACGTAAAAAAGATTTCCAAAACTAAAAACAAGTTGGCTAAGCTTACGAGGCAAGTGCTAACAGCTTAAGCTTTGGCCTAGCAATGGTTGTTGGCACGACAATGATTTAAAAAAGGATTTAAAAAGCTAAAAGCCATAGACATAATGTCAAATTACAAAACAAGTTTTAAGTTCGCCTACCGCCATTAGCTTTGAAACGCTACCGAGCCAGGCGACGTAAGATGACGTCACGTTATTTTGTAGTTCAAAACAGTTGTAGTCCTAAAAACCGAGCAGAAGTAGTGGCAATGTAAATATATTTTATCAGACGTCTTTTAGACGAAAAAGACAGAAAAAAGAAGTAAAACTATAGCGCCAATCAAGGCTTTCAGATAAAGTAATTTTATATCAGAGGAAAAGACGTGACAGTTTTCAGAAATTACGCTGTGACTCGGTACCATGGAAACCGTAGGTGTCCTTAATAAAGCCTGTTTCAAATTCGACAATATTTTGTAGTCAAAATTCAAATATAGCTTTTTATCTTAAACTGTTGCATTATATACTATTAATTTGTATAAATGTTTTTGTTTAACATTTATAAATGCATGGAAAAACGAAAACAAAAATTTCAGGCAATGTCAGGAGTTTGAGTAGTTCCTGTCGCCGGTTTTTTTAAATAATTTTAGCCTTAACAATGCTAGCATGTCGACCTAACCGAGCCTGAATTTGCTGCTCAAGAATGTCTCGGCTGGTGAAGAAATCCCCATCTCTTTGTACAGATCTACCTCTGAACAACACCGAGGTTTGTAACAAGCTCCATCTGATGAGGGAGCTTCTGGGTTCTTGTTATGGTCCGGCTGCCAGACTAAAACAGATTCACAACAACATCGGCGGGCACGTTGTAACCACCTCCTCGTCTTCGGTTCTCCTTCCAGCCATTTCCTCCTCTGAGCCCCTCATCAACCTGATAAAAACGTCAATCCTGCACCACGTACGCCGCTTTAACGACTGTGGTTTGTTTGCTGCCATCTTCTGTTTCTGTCTCATTGAACAAGCAAAGCAGTCTGGCCTCAGAAGTAAAGTGGTGACCAGCGTGAACAAGCACTTAACGGGTTTGTGCACCGATTACCTACAACAAGATGACTGCAGTTGTAAAGTTAAGCTGGACTTTTGCAGCAGCCAGAACTTGGTCACGTTAGCTCGCAGTAGCATCTCCAGCAAACCAGCATGTGTGCTAACAGAGGCAGAGTGTCTCCACATCAGCAGGCTGGCTGTGCACGCCTTCCTGCTGACTGTCCCCTGCGACAGCCCGGGGACAATCAGCCTGGGTAAGACAGTGACTGTCTCTGTTGAAGGCCTTCCTGTGCTGGAATCTGCAGTGTTTCCAGGATTACTGGTGGACGTGGCTCAAGATGTTTCCCTCCATGAGGACAGTTCGTTTACGCCACTGGTGCTCTTCAGTGCATCTCTGGCTGGAGATCTCTGTGAGCTGGGTGATGGTGTAATAGAGGTGCATCCAGATCTGGACACAGACGCTCAGATCCTGGATCAGCTCCTGGAGCTTGGCAAACAGGTGGTTAAAGATGAAGTAAAGGTATTTGTCTGCCAGAAGGTAATCCATCCTGTCTTACAGCTTTACCTGAGAAGTCAGGGTGTAATGGTCATAGAGAGACTTGGAGTCGCTCTTATGGAGCCACTTATTCAGCTGACGGGTGAGTTTACACATGTTTACTTAAACCAATAAAACACTGGATTCAGCTTATAATGTCTCATGTTGATCAGGTTATTTGTGAAACTTAAGAAATAGCATTTTCTTATTTAAAATTTGCAGTGGAAAAGCTGAGTGAGGGAAGACTGATAGAAGTTTTCTGAAGAAGTTGACTATGCAAAGTTAAAATAGTGCAGAACGTTAGCTAAAAGGAGTAAATAGTAGCCGAAAGACCAATAAGCAAAATAATCAAGTGGAAAACTGCTAGCTAAACCAAAACTGAGCAAAACATTAAATTAAAGTAGCAAAACGCTAGCTAAAATGAAAAATTGGCAAACAGTAAAAGTAGCTTAGTGGTAGCTAAAAGTATCAAAAGACTTGTAGGAAGCTAAATGTAGCATGAGGCTGGCAAAAATTCTACATGGCATGTAGTAGAACAGTGGCTAAAAGCTGAATGATAGGTAGGAGCTAAAAGATGCAAAATGCTAGTTAAAAATTATCAAAATGTAGCTTTTTTTTTTTTTTTTGGCTACTCCCTTCCTCAGGGGTCACCACAGCAATTATTTTTATGGGGGATGTCCTTCCTGACACATCCACAGACCACCGAGCTACCACAGCCTCTGTGTGGAGCAGAAAGCTGCTATCTAGGGCACCCGAGGGAGCAGATGATGGGGGTTAAGGGCCTTGCTCAAGAGCCCAGAGTGGGGCAAATTCATTCAACCTTTATTTATACAGGTTAGTCTCATTGAGTCATGAGGACTCATTTACAAGAGAGACCTGTATGAAGGTGGAGGCAGGTGGGGGTGTTTCACCTTTTCCACCCACATTTTGATCTTGTCAGTCCGGGGAGTCGAACTGGCAACCTTCCGATCACAGGTGCACTTCTCTATCCTCTGCGCCACCACTCCCACAGCATGTAGCTAAAATGAGCAAAAAGCTAAAAATAACAAAACGCTTGTTGAAAGTATCAAAAGGCTAGCTAGAAGCTAGAAGTAGCAAAAAGCTGGCTAAATGCTAAACAAAGCAAAGGGATAGCTAAAAGTAAATGGACTAAATAAAAGCTATATGTAGCAAAGGGCCAGCGTAAACTAAAAGTAGGAGAAGGCTGGCTAAATGCTAACAGATTCAAAAAGCTAGCCAAAAGCAGTAAAGCAGTAGCTAGAAGCTAAAGGTAACAATTGGTTAAAATGCTAAAATAGCAAAAGGGTAGCTAAGAACAGTAGCTAAAAACTAAAAGTAACATAAGACGACAAATTGAGCAAGACCAGTTTTAATCTGTTTTTTTTCCCACAATATTTTATGGGAAAGGTATTTGTAAATTAAATATTGTAGAAAAGTATAAAGGTTATGAAAACTATAAGTCACAGCAACCATCTCTTAAATGAGCTGAATGTTTTGAGGTATGAACAGCTAAAATATCAAAGTATGCAGAAGTAGTTAATATTGGAAACAAAACATATAAAAAACAAACAGTTTAATTTCTGAAACAGCATTTCCACAATAAATACATAAATGTTGTTAAATCGACGTTTGGCAGTTTGAAGCCTAAAATAAAATCTTACGCTTTAATTATTTTATTCTGTGTGCTTTTTTTAAAGGTGCTCAACCTGTGGCAACGTTGCATTCGGCTGTCCCCCCCACGGCCTACGGGAAGATCGGGGCTCTTGGTGTCCAGCAGTTTGGGTCCAAGACCATGTTGCATTTCCAGCCTTGTGGGGAATCTGCAATCTGCACCTTGATCCTCTGCCACAGGAACGAGACCATGCTAAATGAGCTGAAGGTGATTAAACAGCTGGACCGTTGGTGTTAATGTAGATGGAATAGGGTGCACTGCAGGTTCTTAGAAAAAATAAATGTCATTTATTTAAGGTGGTGTGCCAGAAGACTGAGCATGTGCTGAGACTCGCCCTCAGGGAACCATCTGCTTTACTTGGAGGCGGCTGCACAGAGACCCATTTAGCTGCTTACGCAAGACAGAAGGTCAGTTCAGTTTTCACTCTTTAAACATTTGACCAATGTCGTGTTTTCATGACTGCACCGATTTTTAAATCTAAGAGCAAGAATGAAGTACCGGAGCCAGCAATACGACTAGGCTGCTCACAGACCGAGTACCTTCGTGCTGTGGAGGTGTTCTGCCGCTCTCTGGAGTCCGTGGCCAGATCTCTGGAACACAACGGTGGGACTTCTCTAATCGATCTGACCCATGCTCACCACTGGACTCAACCTTCAGACGTCATGAAAGAAGACCCTAAAGTCAGCGTGGGCTGCTGCGGCTGTGGAGCGTTGGAAAGCTCTAAAAGTCAAAGGTGGACGTATCTAAACACAGAATACGCAGCGTTTTCTCCTGCCGACTCGCTGAGAGGCGCGTCTGAGCAGCCAAGTGTGCTGGACTCCTTCACAGCTAAACTCAACGCTTTGCAAGTTGCCGTGGAAACGGCTAATCTCGCTCTGGATGTGAGATACGTGATTCAAGACGTGAACTAATGGAAAAGATCTTTAAAGCGAGGTTCACATTCTGTGCTGCTTTTATCAAATTCTTCAGTTTAGTCTGCAGAAATGTTTTCGTCTTTCCTTAAATCTTGACTCGCAGAGATGCCAGGAAATTGTTTATGTATCTCATGTGAGTCTTCCTTTGATAAAACAGAAGTTTAATACTGTAAAGCTGAACTTTCAGCTGTTCCCATAATCATTTTTGCTCAGTTTGCAACTTACAATAAGACTGAACAAAAAAAAACACGCTGATCGCTTTAAATCTAATAACTAGTTATCAATTAAACTGTGTTAGCTGTTTTTCCTGTTTGTCACCTGCCACCGTATTTAAAAAGGTGATATCCGTGTGTTTTTCTGTAGTGTTAGTAAAATAGCTCTTGACCCACTGGAGGGATTTTAATGAAACTTGAAATGTTAAGATGTACAACTCCAGCTGAATAACTTTCACATAGGCCTGTCGCGATAAGTTTTGCTGGACGATTAATCACCTCAGAAATTATTGCGATAAACGATAATATTGTTTGGAGACCGTTTTAAACTAATGTAACGATAATGACATGATAATGCAAGTACATCCTCTCAAAGATCAATAATATTTATATATATATATATTTTTAAGTCCCCCCCCCTCCCCCCAATTATCAAATAGCGTTTCTTTAGCTTGCTAACTCCTCACGGGGCTCTAATGCTGCAGAGGTACAAGACGACGCGCCTTGGCTGGCTACCTGACGCGATAGTTCACTCCCCACTTACACTGAGGAAATGAGAAAGGGAGGGGTCAGTGAAGAGCACTGGGGTTCAGCTTTTTGTCATCCAGTGTCTTCAGTAGAAAGAGAGAGACACGAAGAAACATTAAAGCCGATAAATGAAAATTATCAACCTCATTTTAATTTATCATGCGATTAATTGATTTATTGTTTATCGCGACAGGCCTACTTTCACATATAACCCCAAACGTGATGGCTGCTAGAGCTAAGCAACCTTAAAAAACACAAAAATGGCTATAATTGTCATTTATACATAGTTACATTTTGGTGTGGTAGTAGCTGAGACTGATGCCCAACACACATTCTGAGCATTAATAGACTGAACAAAATGTTCAACTGTTAACAAAATATCTCATGAACCACCAGATGGACTTGAATGAAACTCATGAAGTAGTAACGGGATGTAAATCTACAACTGATTAGCCCAAGTGAATCCAATTCAAGATGGCTGCCATCGCTCTTCAACGCAAAAATGACTAACACAGTTGAGGAAAGCTAGGCGTTCCGGTAAATCTTACTGATATAAATGATTTCTCAAGAATGAGACCATAACAGACGGTTTTCCACCTAAATCTGTGATCAGCACTACAGCAGGTGTGCAGGATTCTGTTCATCTGTGTCAAAAAGACGAGAGGTTTTGTTCGTTTCCTCAGAAGATGACTGGAATCAAAGCCTTTCGACACTTGGGGTATTCTTTAAATTTCTTCTTATAAAACCTAGAAGAGAGAAACAGGACATTTGGACAGAAACCGAATGAGTCGCGGTGCAATAAGACGACTCTTTAGGCTTTCTCTAACGCGTCAGCAGCACCTGTGATGGTAATAGGCCCTAGGTCCAATAAAGAGGAGGCTGAAGACGGCGAAGGACAGCGTCGGGAGGGACCAGGTCGCCACAGCGTAGCCAAACCACTCCACGATCTCTCCTAAGTAGTTGGCACCAGACACGTATTCAAACAGACCCCCTGCAGAGGATGAAAAAGACCACATCACTGCAAGCACTGACGGGAAAAATATATGACCCAACGAGGTCGTTATTACCTGTAGGAATCTTGTAGACTATTTCTTTTGGCTTCCTGAGACTGCGTAAAATACAGTCGCTGTGTATATTGATAGCCATTCCGATGTAAAACAGCAGCAAACCTAAAAAAAAAAATATATTTACGAGTATAAATGACAAAGAAATAGAAATGCAGTATTCATTTTACACAGTGTAAATGCTTAGTCAGCATTCACACTGTAGTTTTCTCGTTTGTGGTTTCTTCCAAACTTGTTTTGGACTCCTGACTACTTAGTTCGATCAGGAATAGTGCGCCATGACTTTTGGTTTATGCAGTAGTGTGTTGTGCTCGGGCAAGACTCATCAGAGGAGGCAAAGAAACTAATCAGGGACAGGTGTGCAGTCAGTAGAGGAGCAGCACACTGAATAAAACAGCGTAGAGCTTCCAGTGGTTGTGGCAGCACCCTCTAGGAGGGTGTCATTCGTAGTCGTTTAGGGCTGCCGGCGATGAAGACAGAAAGGTGGTTAGGTGTTCCTGTGTGAGGAGGGGAGATCTCCTTTAGACAGTCAGGGCTGGGCTTTAGCTGGGTGCCGTCCTGTTCCTGTTGGCTGCTCTGATCTGGTGTAGAACCAATCCAGGAGGTCCGATCGTCGTCCAGCTAAGTCAGTCCACGGGGTGCTGGATGGCGTCACAAGCTCAGACCCTGGGGAGGACTCTCGCTGGCTGGGTGAGCTAAGTGAACTCATTTTTGTAGGCCTCTGTTAGCTTGGGGTGAGGATCAGGTGGTTTGGTTTTACAGGAGTGGACAGTTTTATGAATCAACTTCATGTTGATTGAATCTGGAGTCTCAACTACCTTTGAACAGTTTTGTGTTTAGGTTGCATCCTTCGCCCTCTTGTTTTAGCAGTGCGGTGTTCTAGATGAATAAATAAAAAGCCTTTATTTTCTTAACCTCCTGGTATGTGTGGTGATTTGACAGTTCTGACATTCTATGCAAGATCTTCTGCCTGTGTGATTTTACACTTCTATGCTTGTTTGAATTATTTAACTTTTAAAGTTAAATTAACCTTGGGCAACTCTAGAGTAGAAAAAGAGTCCAGCCCCTCTCAAGGAAATTGGTCCCAGAGCCCACATCACACATGGAGGTGAGCCGGTCTGTATCATCGGTACCTCACACTCGAGCTCAGGTTCCTTCCCCACCATAGAGGTGACGTTCAATGTCCCAAGAGCCAGCTTCGGTCCAAACACCTAGGTCATCTACAACTTCCCTAATTTTACTTCTGCTTATTTTAACTCTCGGTTCAGTTTCATCATTTTCACAAAAAGTGCTCATTTCTCTAGTTAAAGCGTGTACTTTAATGCAAACAATGACTCACCAATTTTATAGCGGTAGCCAGTTGACCATTTGTCGTCAAACTGGGCACAGTGCAGCAGATAGTGGCTCTGCAAGAAACCATTCAGGAAGCAAAAGAAACCTGCTGCCACCATCACACCCACTGGGAAAGGCTGTCCTCTGGTTAGCAAAGAGTAGACAAATGTCCTGCAGTAGATGGAGATCGTATCCATGCAGAAGTCACGTTTCACAGCTAGATGGAGGTATTATGTACCAGACTAAAAACGATTGATTCATGCACCTTGTGGGAGAACAAGCATTTCTCATCGTTTTAGAAGACGAAGCAGAAATGTTTTAATTTGTACAAGCCTAACGGGCAGTATTCCAGTGACAAGATAAAGGTAAAGCATGCATTTCCACGCCAAAAGAAGAAATCAGATGCATCTTCTGCTCTTACCTTTGAAAATAGTGCAAGCAAAATGTCTTGAGGATTAGGTGCTTCCCCGTATGAGAGGATTGATGTGAAAACTGCAGAAAAAGAACCGGGATGAGCAGAGCTGGCATCTCCTGCAGGAACCAGGCGAGTCTGGCGGGTACGGTCCTGGCAGAAGAAGGCGCCATGTGGCGCCCGTATGAGGCCTGCACCTTCTTATGGTGGACCAGATGGACAAGTCCTGCCAGGAGGATCCCACAGCTCAGATAGTGGACCAGGTTCTCGTAGCACTGCATCCCGTACGACTCCGTGCCTCCAGGATGGTGCACGTTGTTGCACTCCTTCCCACTTGTGCACAAATCTAAAGCGTCTGTAAGAAGATCTGTGGATGCAAACAGTCTGACTCCTCCCAAAGTGTCAGCCTGCTGAATTATGACTGTTCTCTTCTTCACATGTACTGTACAAACATTTCCAGAGGTGAGGCTCTGGTTAACCAATCCTGCTTCGATTTCAACTCGGAGCAGAATAACAGTCGTGTGTAAGAAATAATTTCTGTTCAGAGTCTCTTGTCAAAAACCCACCCCACTCCCATTTGTTTGTACTTTTTTTTTTAACAGTTTTTCCTGTGCTGATTACTGTGCTGTGCTTTACTTAGACCAGTCCAAAGCCTTTGATACTGGAGATCACGACATCTTATGCCACAAGCTCTCAGATATTGGCTGCTCAGATCACACTGTTGGCTGGTTCTTAAATTATCTCTCATGTCAGAGGCAACATGTTCGACATAATGGTACTTCATCTAGCTACCTAACAGTCGCTAATGGTGCACCACAAGGCTCAGTTTTAGGTCCCACTCTTTTTACAGTTTATATAAATGTACCGATAGGTCAAAACATTCATGACACATCCTTGCATCTTTATGCCGATGATACAGTTATTGCCGAGCTAACACAGTTGCCAAGGTTGTCCAGCTTCTACAGTCTGCATTTGACATCATTTACTTATTCCATCTCAAATGGTGCTAAATGCTGAGAAAGTCGGTGCCAGCAACTCTTCCTCCCATCTTATCCATGCATCGTGTTCCTATTGAGTTTGTAGATTCTTATAAATACTTGGGAATTTTGGCTGATGTACATCTCTTTTAAACCACATATTGAAAACTTGATGAACTGAAATTAAAACTGGGTTTCTTTTTCAGAAATAGATCTTGCTTAACTTGAGTTATTCAAATCCGAATGCCAGAAAACGCCTTGTAGCTGCAACTTACCATCCATCAACTATGGTGACATTTACATGAATGCTCCTGCCAGCTCCTTGCAGATGTTGGATGCTGTCTACCATGGTGCGCTAAGATTCATAACTGGTTGTAACTACAGTACCCATCACTGCATTCTGTACTTCTTGGTCAGTTGATCATCATTATCTACACGTAGGCTCTCGCACTGGTTCATCTTCATCTTTAAATCAGTCATTCTGTTACCTTCTTATATCTCCTCCCACTTTTCACGTCATCAGTGCAGTTACAACATGCGCCCTCAGTCCATCATTACCTGCAGCGACCCCTCAGTGCGAACTGAACTTGGTAAAAGCTTTTTCCTACTCTCCTCCTGCACCTGGAACACCTCGCAACATGAACTGAAGCTGTTCACCTTAATTTCTTTTAACGGGTTTGATAATGTCAAGAAAAAAATCAAAGCAAATATGTTCTTATTTTTAGTATTTTACCTTGTTTTACGGCACTTCGTTTTATAACACTTTAGTAGTTTATTGTTGTGTGTACTTTATATGTTCCGTCTGGAACAGGTCCTTCTTGTAAACGAGTCCTCGTGGCTCAATGAGAATAGCCTGTATAAATACAGGTTGAACAAATTAATTTTTCCATTGACGGTTTCTCAATTTGAAGGTTGACCATGAAATGCTAAATAACTTGCCTTTTTTTCCTTTTAGGGAGGAGCGAACGAAGCATGAACAGACAATATATACATTTTTATCAACCAAAGTTCAGGAACAAATTACTGCTTGGATAATCAATAAATACAGCAAAAATTATGATCTCCATCATTTGTGGTTATAAATGCTGCAACCTTAGTAAATAAATGTGATTCTAAACCTAAATCCAGGTTAAATTTATTAAAACTTGAGAAATGACGGCTGAGTGTTAAATGACTTTGCTGAAGAAGATCAAACAGAAGTTCCTGATGCATGCTCAATAATCCAGGTAGAAAAATCTAAAAGTTAAGTCAGGTCCTCTGGACAAATGAGGAAAATTAACGTTTCGTCTTTTATCCAAAAGACTTCATTCTGAGCAGCTGCACTAAATCTCGACCTTGACGTCTCGAAGTGGCTTCAAACATCCGTCAAGATCCTGGGAAAAACCAATGCAGACATGTTCCTGTTTTTAGTTTTCTACACCGCCGTATAATCTAGCTGGGTTTTTGTTGTTGTTTCGTTTCATTTCCTTTTGTCTTTTCTTTTTGTTAAAAATTTTTTAAAATTTAAAATTTGTACACATCTTTTATGATTCTCTTGTTTTCGTTGTTGTCCACTGTTGTCAGCTCTTAAAAAAAATCCTGGTCTCTTTTGTGAATGAGTCCCCAAGGCTCAATGGGACTAACCTGCTTAAAGGTTGAATGAAACTGAGCTAACTAATTGATTTAGGTGGTCATCTTGTTAAATTTCGAAGAAACGCACAGCGAGTCGCCCTCCCGTGCACGCCCCCGCAGCCGCCATCGATTTTTGACAACACCGGCCCACATTTCCAGGTCATCAGCGGTGACGCGTAACAAACGCGCCGCGTCAGCGGTGACGCAGAATAGATGCAACGTACACGGCAAAGCGATGTCATGGATTTTTCCACTTCATTAGACAGATTTGGACCAATGAGACTTACAGGGCGGTGCCACGCGTACGGCGGAAAATACGGTAATAATGTTTTTCTTATTTCTTAAGAGGATAATGAAAAGTAGAATAAGAGGATGAAAATGGAGTGCGTGTGATTATTCAAATTATAATGAAACTAGCGAGTAGTATTCAACTGATTAACTTGATCCACAAAAATGGTTCCAAGTTGATCAGTTTTACAACTATTGAGCTACAGTTTGATGCGATGGACACAGAAGGCCTTTCACAACACAAGCTCTGAATGTGACATGGTTCAGAGCTTGGATATTAAAGGTTTGACCAAACAGGCTACAACTCAACGAGTCAAACTTTTTTTTTTTTTGTCCAATCAGAAAACAAGACACCAGACCAGACGTGCTTTTCAGTACATTTTACTTTTGTAACATGAATCCTGCCTTTCCTGAACAGCCTTTTGGGATGCTTTGTCAGTGGAACCTGAGATCAAAAAAACTCCATTACGGGAGCAGTTAAGCAGTTTTTTTTTGTTTGTTTGTTTTTAGGTTAATGACATGTAAGTTCCAATTCCCAAAAGAAAATGCAAAAAAAAAAAAAAAACACATTTCTAAAAAGACAAATAATCAAACAGTGTTGAGGTTAAGCTTGTCGCTACAAGAACGGGGCGATGTGGACAAAACAGAACACCACACCCGGCAGGCGAGAGGAGATACGAGCCGGTGCCTTTTGAACTTTTAGACCAAACGATGAGGTGGAATGGTCCATAAGTGAGCTGGAGACGATACTGGGTTGTCGGCAAAACGGGGAGAGTACACAAAAACTGAGAAGACTGAAAAAGAGAATACGTTTCAGATATGAATGTGCAACAGTGAGAAAAGGCACAATAGCACAGTGTGTCATGCTTTGCTAGTTTCCTGTAAATTAGCAGGTTGGGTGAGTCCGGGGCTGAACTTTCAGTCTGTGTCCCCCCCCACCCCTCAGAATCCACAACATATTTGATCCTAATGAGAAGTGCCACACTTTTTATGTGCCAAAACAGGAGAGGCTGATGGAAATGGGGAAAAGAAAGATTGGAATTTCACACGACAGTCCAATTTTCTGTGAAACTTACTCCGATAACAGGAATTATTATTATTATTATTATTTTAATACATTTAGCCCCTCTAACTAGTTAAAAACCCTCCTGGGATTCAGTGCTTTTACATTTAAATAAATAAACATCCGTCTTCGTCCGTTAAGTCCAAACTAAACGTAACAAAACCTGCCAACGTTTTTAGTTTCAATCAAAAATATTAAAGGTTTACTACGGCTTAAAGTAATCCTGAAGTGAATTTCAAAATAAAAAAAATTAAAAAAAAAGATTGAAATTTGATTCAGTCAAAAAATTAAAATATGTCTCTCACAGATATAGTACTTATAATTTATGAAAGTAAACGTTCCTGCTGGGCCAAGCTAAATGTTTTACTGAGTGTGTAGCAGAAAACGTTTGCTATGAAACTTAACAAAAAATAAATACACCCGATTCTTTTAATCTGACACTCGAGTTGCTACAGGAAGCTAAGAAGGCTGCGTGAACCAAGACTCGAGTCGGCGAGCACACCGATCCACGCTTCATTCCGTCCGTTTTTGTCTAACTGCAGTCCGGGCCTTTCAAACGACATCTTTAATGCTTTAAGCCGATAAGTGGAATCGGTGTTACACACCATCTGTGGGACGAACCAAGGGTTCAGATCTACTCACTACTTCAGTAAATACGATCACATCTATCAAAACGTCTAAAAATCAAAACATAAAGGACTTAAATGTGACTAAAATATAGCTAATGAACCAATCTTGTGATGAGAAAAATATTAATGACGTCTTTGGTTGTTTACAGAAGGGAGTTTGAACTTGGTTGGGTGCAGCCCTTTGTTAGCAACATATGCTAAACAGTGCTAGCAGTTACCTATGACACCGTTTTTTTAGTAGCGTTAAGTTCAAAGCAGTCAAAAGATTTCATGCTTTTCTGAATACTCTCCATTCTGTAGATTTATTTAATTTTAAAAAGGGATAGTCTGGCAAGTTTTGACTTGATGTTGTCAATAGTTATCAGCTGTGACATCATTCACGGAGCGTGAAATGTAGCAAAAAAAAGGGCACGTCCTTTTCCAGGCTAGGCTAATGTTTACCTAAACAAGGGCTTGTTTTATAATTAATCAGGCCTGAAAGCACTTTATTAGCCAATATTAAACTATCGGGGCTATTCAACTAAACTGCTCGGGGCGGGGGTCACAGATACTGAAAGCCAAGTGCTCAGGCGCCGTACATCCAACAGTTATTCTCATTAAGCAATGTTGTTTTACAATTTAATATCGAGTTTTATTTAAAAATGAACACACTGCTGGGCTGAACTGAGCTCATCCATGGGTCTTATTTGGCCCCCCAGACCACCAGTTGAATAGCCCTAATTTATATTTTTTACAGCACCATTTGTAAAAAAAATACGTTCATGTTGTGTAACACGGACCTTATTCAGTTGAGAGAACGGCAACAATCTAAACAGTTGGCATCAAGCAACAGTGTATACGTTTAATTTTAGCTAATGTTGCGTTCTTTGAGGTCGTTAAGGGGAGACTTGTTTTATAATCCTGAAAAACTCTTGTTTGGTTAGTCAATAGCCTGGTCTGGATGAAGACTTTCACCCTTTTCTTCTATCCTTATCTTGACTGTTATTTTCCTCAACTATTGACATCTATTAGACAGAACATCCTTAAAAATAGCCAGACTGTCCCTTTAAGAGGGGCAGGTTAGTTACAAGTGTCCAGATAGAAAGATTACATTATTACTAATCAAATCCTCCGTGTTTTCAGGAAAATGGCGACTAGAAGAACGTTGCAACCTAAATAAGACGTCTCTCCCAAAGCTTCAGCGTTTGATCTCCATTTCTTTTCTCACAACTGAACTTCAAACCGAGCGCTTTGGGAGACTTCAAATGAAGAGGAGGAAAGAAAGGAGGGGGAGAGGAGAGATAATCATATTGGCTTTGAATGTCTAAAGTCTTTCCTGCAAGTAGTGGGTACCACTGGGTGGGGTTTAAAGTTGTGGGGGTCATGGGTCAGGTTATGGCAATAAGATAGTATGGGCAGGGTGGCGGCGTTTTGCTGTGGCCCCTGCAGGAGTTGACCTCAATGAACGATGAGCGCCCCGGCAGCGTAGCTCACGGAGCTGTCCTGCCAGTTCCTGCACTGACTCGACTGGGCGTAGTTCAGGAAAGAAAAGTTCATCTCTAATCCAGACTTCCTAAGCTCGGCCACGGCCTGGAAAACAGGAAGAAGCAATTAGTTCTGACGTGATCGCACACACCAAAATAAAAAAAGGTGCATTGTTTTAGCAGGTACTGTAATTTCTGGACTATAAGCCGTTTTTTCCCCACACGCTTTGAACTCTGCGGCTCGTTTATGGATTTTTTGTTGTTTTTTTTGGGACGGGCTAACAAGCTTCATGCCACCCAAACATTTCTCCTCGTCACACCCGGGCACTCGCATAACTGCCCAATACACATCTCGTAGGGGGCGGGTCCTCGTGACTCAATGAGACTACCTGTATAAATAAAGGTTTAAATAAATCTGACCAATGAAATTATCGAATAGGTCACTGTGGACCAATGAAACGAGGAGTGGAGGTTTTCTCCTCCACTCCCTGGGGGCGCAACCAAGTTATGTGCAGCCTCTAAAAATAAGTGAATCGTGCACTAGTGTGGCACTCCGAGCTCAGTGGGAGGCTTGGACGACTGGCAGCGAGAAATAGTTTACCAAAACTGGCAACATGCGCAGAGCCAGTTTTGCTTAAAGCTACCGGTTTTTTTTTTGTTTGTTTGTTTGTTTTGTTTGTTTTAAACCAGTCATGTTACAGTTCAGAAAAAAAACATTTACTGTACGTATGTGTGTGTTACAGATACGTATTAAATTAGGTTTAAATCTGTGTAAATATCTCAATGTGGACACCTGCGGCTTAAAGACAAGAGCAGCCTATAGATATGTTCAAAATTATTATTATTTTTTTTTTTTTACTTAGTGGGCGTGGCTTATATTTGGGTGCCCTCAATAGCCTGGAAATTACGGTATACACAACAAGTGACATCTTGAATCATCCACCAGTCATGGCAGCAGGCAATTTTATCCATTTACATTTGGCGTCAACCCGACTCAAAATGGCGGCCACAGTCTGAACCATAGCAAATGTATACAGGCTTTAACAAAGTTAAAAATCATCATCATCATATCATTATTATTATTATTATTATTATTATTATTATTATTAAACCAGCAAATTTATTTCATGGTCTAAATCTAAATGGGTTTAATCATTAATATGTGGCTCTTTGTATGTCCTGTTCCACCATAAACAATGCATGTATGGCAGCACAATGGTTTAGTGGTTAGCACTGTTGCCTCACAGCGAGAAGGTCCCGAGTTCAATCCCTGGTTTGGACCTGGGGTCTTTGTGTGGAGTTTTCATGTCCTTGTGAACCCCTTGTAGGATTTCTCTGGATACAGTAAACAGTCAATACTTTGCAGTTCAACTTAAAAGGAAAGAGTGGCTGAGTGCGGCTCACTCGGGTATAAGACAGACTCCGCCCACTCCTTTCTCTTTCTGAGGTCTGTCACAGCAGAGAAAAAGAAAGGAAGGGGCGGTGGAGTCTGTCTTACACCTGAAATGAGCTGCACGAGCAGCATGGATTGTTTATTTAAAATAATCAAGTGCAACAAGCCTTTAGGAACAAGAGCAGGAACAAGAACACTGAATACTTCAGGCCCGAGGCGATCAGACGATCTGTCAGGGAGGCAAAGACCGGGGAGCATTTAAGGAGCGCAGCACACAGGTGCAGCAGGAGGGAGACTGGGAGTGACACAGGTGATGAGCATGAATGTGACTGAGGAGGAGAAGTGGGCGTGGCAGAGATCATGACATGCTGTGCTCTTTTAGAGCGTTTAGAGTTTGAACATTGTAAGAGTGTGGGAAGGGTTTATAAAGCCTTAAATAAATATAAATACAACATCCCTAATTTGCGATGTTTCACCCATCGTGGGGGGGTGTCTGGAACGTAACCCCCGCCCGCGATAAATGAGGGACGACTGTACTGCAGTTTCCTCCAAAGGTTCAAAAACATTCATGTCAGGCTGCCTGAAGGCCCAGGCCTCCCTTAAAAACAACATCTGTGATCTCAGTGGGAAGTGCCTGGTTCAAGAAAGGTTAATAAATAAATAATAGGTGGGGGAGTTTTAAAATATTTTGTACATTTAGGCCGCTCCTTATTTAACATAAACAAACGTTCGCTCGACATCAACACGTGTTCGACCAACTGAAACATTCTGCGAGGCCGTTTTCTTCAGCGGTACCTACATTTAGCAGAACTCCTATGGGGTGGCGTCCACAGATGGTGTTGCGGTACTTCTTCAAGTAGTTGGTGAAAGACATGGGATCCAGCTGCTCTATAATGCTCATGCCCTGCAAAAATAAAAATAAAATTATTTTTACTCAATTCTAAGATACACCGTTTCACATCCATTAAGTATCACATAAAGAGAAGGAGAGCACAGAGGCAGAGCTTGCCCAACAGCAACAAACATCTTCTGAGACTAAATGTGTCACCAAGTTTCATTTGAAACATCTTAGCCGTTACCATTTTATCAAGATGCTCGATCGACCTGTAGATCTCCCCTTGGGATTCATCGTAGTGCGTGTAACGAAACCGCTGACCTTCAGCAGAGAAAGAGACGACTATAAATAAAATAAATTATTCCAGGTTTGAACAAAGTAGCAGCTAAGAACCAATGTTTTCACGCTAACTTACCCCAGTGACAGAAGTCGGATGAGATTATGAAGAGGTTGGCAGGGTCTGCCAGGTATTTGCTGAGCAGCTTCCCGTACTCCTGCTCCTTGGACTCACTCAGAGCGCCCACGAGCACAGGAACGATACTGAACTCGTCTTTGTGGCTGAAACACCAGATTAGCACATTAATGTTGGACCTGAAAGGTTCTTTTCAACACAGTCGTGTTTCAGTCACATGTTTCTTTTATAAACAGGAGTACAAAATCAGATTTAGTTAAACTGTTTCAAAAGCAAGAGACTACTACCAAAGTATCAAAGAGCTTCACTGATCAAGACAAAACTGACTACAGTAAAGAGAATTTTACAGATGTTGAGCTGAAATCTGACGTGGTAGTAGCTGAGAGTCATTCACAACAAAGAATGACAAAAACTGTTTCCCTGATTCCTAAAGAACTGTACTGGATGTAATGGTGAGCACTCTAGTTTCAACTTTATGATAAATACTGAGGATGTAAAGCAGGCTATTCATCTCAGTCTGGTTCAGTGATGAGTTTATTTAGAATAAAACTAATTTTAAAAACAGGCAAAATAAAGAAAATAGGACAAACATTAAAAAGACTGGGCTATACATTACAACCCAGTCCACTTTCCCATTGATTTCATAAAAATAAACTAGATGTTTAATCAAAAATTAATTATGTATTGGCAATAACTGCTGGACGTCCAGTCCCTGAGCGTTCAGTTCTGATGTAAAGAAAAAATTACATTTTAGATCAGGGGTGCCCAACACGTCGATCTCAAAAGGTAGTCTGGGTAGATCACATGGCATTAAATAAAATAGTCAGCTGATCATCCAGCTATGAAATTTGTCTCTTGATTGACAGACAGGACAGCCAGTCTGAGGCCCCGTTTACACGACGTGAAATGGTCAGCCGTTCATTTACAGACAGCCTCATTCTCTTTGAAACCCAAAGTTAATGAAGAGTGGAGATTTTCGGGGGAACCCTCCATGGAGGTGTGAAATTCTCCACAAGGATGAAGTCGAAAATGCACAATACAGGCGGCTGCAGTCCAAAGGATTCTGCACCAACAACAGTTAGAATAAATATAACAAGAGTTATAATAAATGGCAGAGTGTTTTTGTGCTGCTCACCTTTTTCAGCATGTGGGAGCAAAACCAATAAAATCCAGGCTCCAAAGAGACGTTATGCGTCTTTACCAGTTTGGACGTAACTGCATGCACAATGAATGCAACTGAGCCCAGCATCAGGGTTGCCAGATACATTTAAAATGTCTTATTTATGCCTACTTTTTTGTGCACATATTCCACAGACAACACACACCTCATCTTAGAATATCTTTACTCAGCACATACAGTTCAGGTCAAAGTACTATCATTTTAAAGCCACAGTGCTGTAGTTCATTTCTTATCTGGCAACCCGACTGACATGGAAACTTGGTGTTTTTGTGGAAAACGATGCTCATTTTTAGAATTCCAGAATTGCGCCGCTCAAGGTGGCAGCATGTAGGAGCAGCGAACAATGATCCAAAGACCCATCTCTGCCTGATGCCCTCAAGTTCTATGCACGTTTTGAAGACCCGAACAGACCACCCAGCACCAGACTCACCTCACCACCGAATGAAGAGCATCTCAGCGTGACCTCAGCAGAAGTAAGGAGTACTTTCAGGAGGATTCATCCGCACAAGGCAACTGGCCCAGACAACATCCCCGGAAAAGTGTTGAAGGAATGTGCTGATCAGCTCTGTGAGGTGCTGGCAGACATCTTTAACACCTCACTTACCCTGGAGACAGTTCCCACCTGCCTGAAGACTGCCACCATCATCCCAGTCCCAAAAAGCTCTACAGTGACTGGTCTGAATGACTATCGGCCAGTAGCCCTCACCCCGACAGTCGCTAAATGCTTTGAAAAACTGGTCATGACTCGCATCAAAACAACCATTAACATCAACGAGGACCCTCATCAGTATGCATACCGTGAGAACCGATCGTCAGAGGATGCAATCTCCTCTGTGGTCCACACTGCGCTCAACCACCTAGAGCAGAAAAACTCTTACGTCTGTATGCTCTTTGTGGACTTCACATCCGCCTTCAACACCATGATCCCCCAAACCCTGATGGACAAACTATCCACACTAGGACTAAGCCCCTCCATCTGCAACTGGGTACTAGTCTTTTTAACAAACAGACCACAGTTAGTGAGGATCCACAACCTCTCCTCCTCCACCATAACCCTCAGTACTGGCTCTCCTCAGGGATGTGTGTTGAGCCCCCTCCTGTTTACTCTGCTCATGTATGATTGTGCAGCTACCCATCCAGGCTGTCACATTGTAAAGTTTGCAGATGATACAGCGGTGGTGGGATGCATCACAAACAATGATGAGTCCAGCTACAGGCAAGAGGTGGAACACCTGGAGAGCTGGTGCAAAGAGAATAACCTTCACATCAATGTGAAGAAGACAAAGGAGATGATTGTGGACTTCAGAAGGAACAAAAACATCTACACCCCCCTGAACATAAGAGGATCTGCGGTGGAAGTGGTCTCCAGCTACAAGTACTTGGGTGTACACCTGAATGACAACCTCAGCTGGAGCAACAACACCACCAGCCTGATCAAGAAAGCTCATCAGAGACTCTACTTCCTCAGACGGCTGAGGCGAGCAGGTCTGGGAAGCTCAGTCCTCACCTCCTTCTACAGGTGTGCAGTGGAGAGCATCCTGTGCTCCAGCATCAACGTGTGGCATGGAGGCTGCACAGCTGCAGAAAGAAAAGCTTTGCAGAGAGTGGTGAAGGCTGCACAGAAGACTGTCGGAGTCAGTCTCCCCACCATCACAGACATCTACACCTCCAGATGCAGGAAGAGGGCCACCTGCATCATGAAGGACCCCACCCACCCAGCACACACACTTTTTGCCCCACTCCCCTCAGGAAGGAGGTTGAGGAGCATTAAGTGTAGAACCACTAGACTGAGGAACAGCTTCTACCCTGAGGCTGTTAGACTCATGAATCTCTAACCAGAATAATCACTGTGAAAAATCACATCATGTTGCTGCTGATCTGTTTCATGTTGCTGCTGATCTGTTGTTTTAATGTTGAAGTGTTCATGCGTGCACATCTGCTCACAGACTCATGTTCATGTTTGTGCTGATGTTCAATGTTTTATGTTATGAGTGCTTGGTGTTTATTTAGTTGTTTTTTCTTAGTTCATAACTTAGATGTTATTACTGTTTTTCTTATACATTTTATTGTTGGATGTAACTGGGACCCTGTGTACATAATTTCGCTCCACCACATGTACCACATGAGGTGCGAATGACAATAAAGAATCTCTGACTCTGTTACTTTCATTCTGAGATTTTGCTTTTGGAAACTTTAATTCCTCTCTTTCTGGATGTAAATCACTTTTTTCTGATGATTGTTTCCTCTGGTATCAGATGCTGTGCAGCTGGAAGGATTTTTACCGAAACTTTTTTAGTTTTGGACATTTGTTATGATGCGTAACCATGGCAACAAGGCAGTTTTCTACAACCAACAGCAGTTGAATAACATCTCAAAAGCTCAAATAATATCTCAACTACAGCCACAAATCTCAAATGAGTTGAAAAGGATGTTCTGTGGACGCATTCTCATCAACCTGCCAGCTGTGCTCGAGTGCCTGACCACTGAGAACCTGGAAGTAGCAGGAAAAACAGCTCATGACAGCAGGACAGGATCGTCTCTCAGCACCTACAGTTGGCTGTCTGCAGCGACGAGAAACTCAGCAGGCTACTGGGAAGAGTGGCCATCCCTCTGGTAGGAGTTCTGCCCGGCATTCGGGCGGTCCTACAGCCCGGGGGAACAGAGAGGCCAGCTGAGTCTGGGTGGACGGATCGGACGGCATCTGCAGCCAGTGTCTTCAGATCCACTATGGGATGGACCTTTACAAGAGATCCTTCCTGCCTACAGCCTCAGTATCTATAACATCTCTTAATGAAATGAGGATAACGAGTTAAAACAACAAATAATTTCCCTCTGGGATTAAAAAAGTATTTTTGAATTTTTTGTTTATTACAAGATTAAGGTTTCCAGAGGTTGTTCTCGTGTAAACGGGGTCTTATAGCAGGTAGATCACTCCGACTTGGTCATTTTAAAAGGAGCTTGCATGCTGAACAAGTGTGGGCACCCCTGAATTAGATCATTCGGTACAAGTTGGCTGAGAGTAATTAAAACCACGTGTTCTCGTCAGTTCAGGCTCCGTTTAATAAAGCTCTTCTCACTCGTTTGTTTTACCTCTCCATGGCTTTTGCAGTGTAAGGCAAGTGCATTTCAATACTGTGCTCATCTTCATCGGTCTGCAGACTCATCCTCTCAAACAGCCCAGTTTTCAAGAGGTCAGCGTAAACTGCAAAACAAAGATTTTATTTCAAACTTGAGCACGTCATCAATGCAGTCTGAACTAATGAAGTCACTTTAGGAGCTGCACATTTGAGCTAATTGAGAACTTGAACAAACGCCAAGCTGAACTTTTCAGCTCCTGACCCACAAAACAAACTTTTGATCCCATCGACTCCTGACTGAAGTGTACAAATGTTGCTAGCAAGTCGACTGAATAAGGATGTTATGACCCACAAAAAGCCTCAACTATTATAGTATTTTTTAATTAATTTAGGACTATTTTACAACATTAATGGCAAAATATGCTGTTAGTAATCGGCTTTAATTTGTTTTTCTTCTGGAAATTGTCTCAAGGCCTCTCACTTGGAGTTTCATGGCCCACAGTTGCGTTCCAACCCAACCTTTGGAAGAAACCGCTCAAAGAAAACTTATGGTACTGATGCCAAAGGTCTGTCTAAATTAGTCTCAATTATTACACCATTTCCAGATCAAAACCCTAAAAACGACACTACTCAATAAATAATCAGTTTGTATAAATTCACACAAAAAAAAAAAAGAGATAAACAGAACTGAAGTGACAAAACAGCGGGTACCCTTCTGGTCGATTCGCAGGTCATAGAGCGGCGTTCTATAGACGTCTGCGGGTGACAGCGCACAGCGGGAGAGGGGCACATGGTGTGAAGGTCCCAGAATGAACACCCTACGACTGAAGGGCAACAGGACTTTATCTCAATCTATCAACAGCTCCATGTTCTATCTACACAGAAAACATGCTTGTTCTGTTGCAGGACAGGAATCAAGATAAACGAGTCGTTTAAAACATTTTTAAAGACAGAAAGTTAAACGACTTACGTGATGGAGGGATCAACCTGCTTGTAGGCATATGCTGCACAAGCACCACAGTAGGTATATCCAGCATGGCTGCAAGCAAGAACACGTCAGTATAGAATTAGAAGAGACGATTTTTTACTTTCATTAAATTATTTGTGTTCCTACGGTGCTATGATGGCTCTGGCAGGTCTGATTGTGGACTGTGCTTGGGACAGCCAGCCCTCTAGTTGTGCATTCAGCTGGGCTCCTACAAAGAAAACAGCGAAATTCATTAATAATAGAACCAAGCATTGTTACAAATAGAAAACCTAGAATGTAACAGCTGTTACACCTTTACATTATGGACTAGTATTGTGTTTTTAAATCAAGTTTTAAAGATCTCGTTAGTGCTTGAAGTTTGTGTAGATCATCAACAGCACAACCACACCATCCATCCATCCATTTTCTTTTACCCGCTTATTCCATTTTTGGGTCACGGGGTTGCTGGTGCCCATGTCCAGCAATCACTGTGCGAGGGGCGGGGTACACCCTGGACGGGTCGCAAGTCCATCACAGGGCCACATAGAGACAAACGAGACAAACAACCATTCACTCTCTCACTCACACCTAGGGACAATTTAGAGTTACCAATCAGTCTAACATGCATGTTTTTGGACTGTGGGAGGAAACCGGAGTACCCGGAGAAAACCCACGCATGCACGGAGAGAACATGCAAACTCCACCCAGAAAGGCCCCTGGACCGGGGTTTGAACCAAGGACCTTCTCGCTGAGAGGCAGCAGCTCTACCAGTTGCGCCACCGTGCTGCCACAACCACACCACATTCTAGCTAAATAGCTATAAAACCAACTGAATTATTGCATTTATGCGTTTGCCATCGATGATTAGCTTTGGCGGCCATCTTGAGTTGGGTTGAACTGTAGATGTGCACCCAATGATTACTCTTTTCCACTGGTTTAGAATACATTCGGCAAAGGACAGGCAAAAACACAGCCAACTACGTGATCGCCCACCTTTCATGGTAGCATAGAACAGGAAAAAAAAATAAAAAAAATCCTTGAAACCTTTTTTTTTTTAATCAACAATTCAGTTTGGTAAAAATGTCTCAGGAACTAAAACCCACAGGAGTCAAAGGGTGCATTAGCCCAAACGCACAGACAAATGTTTTTACCGGTGATAAATTTACAATGGGACCTTATTCAGCTGCTTGTATCCAGGAGCTCATTCCTTCAGTCATGATTCAAACCTCATGACCACAGGTGAAGGATGGAACGCAAACAGACCAGTAAATCTAGAGCCATAATTCAACTCAACTCTTTCTTCACCACTACAGACCAAAGCAACACCCTCATTACAAAGGACATGGCCTCGATTCGTGTATCCATCTCCCGTTCCATCCTACCCTCACTCGGGGACAAGACGGCCAGACACTTCTACTCCTCTGAGATGCCGACCAGTTCTTGTCAATGTAACATAAACGGCACGTTTAAAAGAAAAGCGCTCAGGTTGAATCCGTCTACACTGGAAATAATGTCATGTCTGTAACCTGCAGGATAAAAAGCTCGACTCATTCAGTTTAATTTGAGCTAAAGAAATGTTCCTATGCAATACTTCTCTTTCACATCTGGTTAGTCTGTGCTCTAGATTTTAAGCTTATAAACGGAAAAACTAAATACCTTGTGGGTTTAAAAAAAAAAAAAAAAAAAAAAAAAAAAGCTTTGTGAGATGGGGGAAGGGGTGCAACATGAAACTCCAGTTGTTTCAGCCCTGCCCAGTCTTTTGTTTTAAACGTCAGTGAAATGTCCAAGAAAAAAATTGTGCAATCCAAAAAAAAAATCAAAAACTAACCAGCCCACAACAATAACACCTTAAAATGAATTAGATTTTTAAAAGCTTTAGGACTTATCTAGTGTTAGCTAGCATGCAGGCCAGGAAGTTTAAATAGCTTAGTTTAGCTTTTGCTACCTTAACAGTGCGTTCAAAATAATTCCCTACAGAAAATTCAGGTGTGTTTTGAGACTTTATCGGAGGATGAACTGGCTGATGTGTTTGTCATGAGCTGACACGGACGCTGTGATCAACGGCAGGAAAATGTTAGCCGAGCTAGCCGACCTTTTTAAAATGGGACTAGCATTAGCTCGTGTTTGCCATCACCGCCTGCTCGGGCAAACCACGAAGAGATCAGTTAAAATATCAAAACTCCCACGGTTAATCCAAACAAACGGACAAGTCTAAACCAATACGAGACGCTGACATAACAAGAAAAACACATTAAAAAGCAGCTAGCATGTGCTAACGCAGTTTACCCGAAGCAGAGTACCAGCTCCCGGCGTGACTTGCTTCTCTGCACACCACTCGATTTGACATCTTGGTTCCCAAGCCGCCTATCTTGATTTACTTAACTTATGTGAAGCAAATAAAAAAGGATAAAAAAAAAAAAAACCTGCCACTTTAGCTTTAGCTGACTGTCAGGATGAAACAACGCCTGTTTGCTAGCTAACTTGCTTGGATAGACAAAGGGCAGCTCAGCTGGGATAGCTCGGCTCGCTGGCCGCCGTGTTGTTACCGGTTAATTCGAGAAGTCAGTTCGTTCGACAGTCTAACGATTTTACCGTGTAAAACCGTAAAGGCACAAAATACAATATCCAAAATTTGTGCCAGCACTGAAAACTGACGGAACCGCTACATACGAAGCTGTCACAGTCAGCTTTTAAGGATTACTGACTTCTCTCGCGAGCCAGGTAAGAGGCGTCTCACAAACTCTTGTCAAAGTGACGTCAAGCGATCCGATTCGTTGTTTGATTTAAAGAGGCGTGTGATTGGTGGAAATTAGAAAGAAGGCGGGGCCTCTGCCGAATTGATTGTTTGGTTATGAAATAGCGTGGCCAGTAAGTGACATGTGACATTTAACATAATTAATAAAAGTCACATTTACTTTATTTTCCATTACTCGGAAAGGAACAAAAAAAAATATTCAGCAGTTGTTTTTTATTATTGGCTGCTGCTGAAAGATGGGTAATGCTGTTTTTTTTTGTTTGTTTTTATTTTATTTACCCTTTATTTATACAGATAGTCTCATTGAGTCAGGAGAACTAATTTTCAAGAGAGACCTATTTAGGAGCAGATGATGGGGGGTTAAGGGTCTTGCTCAAGGGCCCATAGTGGAGCAAATGAGGGAGGAGGCAGGTGTGGGTGTTTCACCTTTTCCACCCACATTTTGATGTTGTCAGTCTGGGGAGTTGAACCCTTGACTTTCCGATCACAGGCCCATCTTCTCTAGCCTCTGCACCACCACTCCCCAGCATTAGCTTTTTGTCTTTTTATTCTTTCTTTTAGTAAAATGTTACATCAACCACTGGACAGATTTGATTAATCTTCACATGTACATTCACAACAAATTAACTTTTGTAACTAGTCCAAATTTAAGATGACTGACATAGTTAGGAAACACAACGAAATGAAGTACATTTTAAAAGATCACTCTAAAAATGTGTGGTAGTAGCTGAGAATCACCCCCAACACATACCTCAAGTAATACACATCGCACAAGATCTTTGCTTAAAATTTTGGCACAAGCTCTTAAATTATATGAACAAACCATTTAACAAGCAAGCTGATGGGTTATCATGAAACTCTCACAAAATAATGTTAGAATGTCCATCTACAAGTGAATATGTTTTTAGGTCAGTTCAATTCAAAATGATTACCACATAAAAACAACTTTGGCAAAAACAAAAATTACCATAACACAGTCAGTTTAATTCATATTAAGCTAAAATTTGTTGAGATCCTAGATGAGATTCATCCCTAACACATAAACCAAACACACAGGCTGGCAGAGCTTAAAACGAGATTATTCTATACTAGGCCTTTCAATTTTAGACTGAACTACTAACACTAAAGGCAGATATTAAGTACCACTCTAAATGAATATACCTTTACGGGTTAGAGACATGTTACAAAAAATGTTCATGTGACGAGGTGAATAAAGATATATTTTTATTTTTTATTAGATCAGAGACTGCTTCAGTTTTTTTAAAGTAATTTCGTTCTCCGTTTATCCGGAAGATGGCGGTAGCGCGGCTAGTTGTTTGCTAACCGCGCCTAAAAACAAAAGAAGAAGAAAGAGGGCGGGGCTTCGTTCACGTGACTTTACTGTGGAAGCCAAAGCTAGCCGGGCAACTGTTTGTTTACAGATGGACCGTAAATATAATAGCTTTTGTGGCTAAAAAAAAAAAAAACAAGTTAATAAAGACAAAGTGCTGTTTTAGCATCATATAGGTTTAATTTAAAAGAAAGTTTATTTTCACAACGAACTAAACCGTAACCGAGCAGAGGAGGAAGTAACGCCAGACAGTAAATTATGTCAACTAAAATTAACGCAACAAGAAGCAAAGACAGCGGAGAAGTTATTAAAAACTACCACAAGCAAGCGTTTGAGTACATATCCAAAGCGTTAAGGATCGACGAAGATGATACAGGTATATTTATTTAATTTCAAGCTCAATTAACTCGTGTTATCGGCGATAGCGTCTGATAAACATCCATTTTCTGTGCGTTGACAGTAGATAAAGGGGAAGCTGTGCAGTGGTACAAGAGAGGGATCTCTGAGCTGGAAAGAGGCATTGCTGTGGACATCACAGGAACAGGTACTCCTATACACACTTGACATGTCTAATATTGTCTAACCATACTCTTGTTTTGTTTTGTCAACAGGAGATCAATATGATCGGGCGAAGAGACTGCAAGATAAAATGGTCGCCAACCTCACCATGGCCAAAGAAAGACTTGCGTTGTTGGGTAATTTTTAGCTAATATTCAGAAGTCTGGATTGTGTTGCAAACTTCTGTCAAACCTGTAATAACTTTGCCTTCTTCTTTATTCCCAGAGGCCACATTGGAATCTAAAAGTAGAAGTCATCCACAGCCCACATCCAGCTGTGTTCTTCCACAGTCAAAGCCTAAAAGCCATCCATCGGTTTCAGCCTCATCCACCACCTGCAGGCCCTCCACCGTTGTCAGACCCCCAACGAGACCCTCCGACCCAAAGGTGCTTTGATTTTCTGTCATTCACGTTGTAAACCTGTGTAAGGTTTGTGCTGATTTGTAATGCTTCCTGTTCAGGTGACACCGCGCATGGGAAGAGTTCAGAACGGGAAAGCTACAGCTGGGAAGCAGCCGCCAAAGAGAGACATGAGAAACTTCAAGAATGTAGACAGTAAACTGGCCAGCTTGATCCTGAATGAAATTGTTGACAGGTATTTAAAGCAAGATAATTAGAAGTCACTTGTTTCAAATGTTACCTACAAATACTTACATACATAAATGAAAGGTCCAGCATTCCTTAAAGCAGTAGTTCCCAACCCTGGTCCTTGAGGAACACCGTCCTGCATGTTTTAGTTGTTTCCTGCTCAAACACACCTGATTCAGTGATTTCATTCCTTCTTATGTTCTACAGAAGCCTGTTAATCACCCATTAATTAATATCAGGTGTGTCAGAGCAGAGAAACAACTAAAACATGCAGGATGGTGTTCCTCAAGGACCACAGTTAGGAACCCCTGCCTTAAAGGAATACATATCACCTGCCACCTTACATAATTTTGCTAACACACACACAGACACTGCTTTCACCTTTCAGTGATGGGTGATAATAAAAGCCCTGCACCTAAAGTGAACCCCTCTGTCCACTGCAGGGGGACGTCTGTGTCTTTCGATGACATTGCAGGACAAGATCTGGCCAAACAAGCACTTCAAGAAATTGTCATCCTTCCTTCCTTGAGACCAGAGGTTGTTATTTTTTAAATAACTTTTCTGTCTTCTTACTGTATCTGCTTCGGAGGTTTAATTTCTCACACTTCCTGTTCAGCTGTTCACTGGCCTGAGAGCACCTGCTCGTGGTTTACTGTTATTTGGACCCCCTGGAAATGGGAAAACTATGCTGGTTTGTTTGAACACAACGTCCTCAGTCATTCAAATCAAACTCTTGTGTTGTGATTCGCATACCTCTCTTGGGCTGTTGCCTTTATTTGTTGAATCACGACCTTTAATTCCATTTGTCAGGCAAAAGCTGTGGCTGCAGAGTCTAATGCTACATTCTTCAATATAAGTGCTGCTAGTTTGACATCAAAATATGTAAGAAAACTATAAATATATTAAATTATTGCTTCATACTAGGGTATTTTTAACCTTTTCTGTCATCCTTCTCACAGGTAGGAGAAGGTGAGAAGCTTGTACGAGCGCTGTTTTCAGTTGCGAGAGAATTACAACCTTCTGTCATCTTCATCGGTTCGTGTTACCCCGTCCTACAGGTTGAGGATCAAATTTTAGCTCATAATTAAACCTCTCTCGTTCTTTTCCTATTTGACTTTCAGATGAAGTGGACAGCTTGCTCTGTGAGCGGAGGGAGGGGGAACACGACGCCTCTCGACGCTTAAAAACCGAGTTCCTCGTAGAGTTCGACGGGGTGAGAGAGTCGGCACGAGCGGAAATTCCTGAGGACTAAGGTGTCGTTTTCACACCTGCACATCTGGATTTCAGGTGCAGTCGGGAGGGGACGAGAGGGTTCTGGTGATGGGAGCAACCAACAGGCCGCAGGAGCTCGATGAAGCAGTTTTACGGTAAGTAACGGCCCCAGACAGTATGATTCTTTTGTTTTAACAAAATGGCAGCTGATGTTTGTGTTGCTCTAACAGGCGCTTTGCTAAAAGAATTTACGTGGCACTGCCGGACGAGAAGGTATTTATCACCCACAAGTGTTTAAATGTTTTATTTTTACCTAAGGCATACAAACTCGTTATTTTCTGCTCTTCTTCTTCTTATAAGACCAGATTGACTCTGATGAAAAACCTTTTGGGAAAACACGGGAATCCTTTGAGCCCGAATGAACTGTCCTACCTTTCGAAGTGAGCGACACAAATCCTTTAAAGAGCCGTGTTGGTTGTTGTTGGTTTACTTTGTGTTCATTTCTGGAAATCTTGTCTGACAGAGCGACAGCAGGGTTTTCAGGAAGCGATCTCACGTCGTTAGCCAAAGATGCTGCTCTCGGACCCATCAGAGGTACGATTCTTTTCATTTACTGGCCACACAGTCACATTTCTACCACGGTGATCCAGAGCCTCTGAAAATATGAGGAAGACGTTTGTATTTGTTTTTTAGATTTAGGTGGAAATATTGACCAAAAAGTCACAATGTTGGAAAAAAGTCGTCTTTCAAAACTAAATCAGAAGAAGAGAACCACATTGAGCTCCTGCATTCTAAAACAAAAAGCTAAAAATAGCCAAATGCTAGCTAAAAGCTGCGGCTGAAAGTAGCAAAAGACTGGATAAAAGCTAAATGAGACTGAAGGCTAGTTAAAATGTTCAAAGATGCACTAGCTAAAAAAACTAAACGTAGCAAAATGGTAGCTAAAACATTAAGCTTGACTACAAGTAGCAAAACGGTAGCTAAAAGCTAAGTGAGCCTAAAGGCTAGCTAAAATTTCAAAGATGCACTAGCCTAAAAAAATTACACGTAGAAAAATAATTTATAAAAACAGCTAAAAGTTTGTTAAAAGCTGTGTGAGACTCAAGGTTATCAGAATGTTTATGGTTGCAAAACACTAGCTAAAAACTGCAAGTTGCAAAATTATAGCTAAAAATAGCAAAATGCTAGCTAAAAGCTACAAAGACTTGGCTGAAAGTAGCAAAAGACTAGATAGAAGCTAAATGAGACTGAAGGCTAGTTAAAATGTTCAAAGATGCACTAGCTAAAAAAAACTAAACATAGCAAAATGGTAGCTAAAACAGCAAAATGGTAGCTAAAGGCTAAGTGAGACTGAATGCTAGACATTTCAAAGATGCAATAGCCTAAAAAATTACAAGTGGCAAAAAAAAAATTCTAAAAACAGCTAAAGGTTTGCTACAAACTATGTGAGGCTCAAGGTTAGCTGTAAGTTTAAGTTGCAAATCACTAGCTAAAAACTTAAAGTCCAAACATGCCTGTAGTGCGCATGTGCGACTTCATGAGCGTTTCACGTCTCCGTGGGGGGTTCCCCTGAAAATCTCCACTCTGCGACCTGGATTCAGAAACCCTCGGTTTCAGAGAGAACGAGGGCCGTTGTCTGTAAATGACCAGCCGAACGTTTCACGTCGTGGAAATGAGTCCTCGGACTGGCTGCCCTGTCTGTCAATCAAGAGACAAGTTTCAGAAATGGATGATAGACTGACTCTATTTTTTAACGCCGTGCCATCTCCCCATAATCCCTTTGAGATCGACATATTGGGCAACCCTGAAATAGTCTGCTTTAGGTTCACTTCTTCTGGTTTGGTGTTTTAGTTTAGACGCCTTTTATGTCTTAATATTATCCCCACTTTAACTTTGACATTTTAACTTTAATCTCAAACCTAAAGAGAAAAAACAACTTCCTTCCTGCTCAGTTATTTTGACCCAAATACTTAACTTTCATGTAAAAATGTCTTTGTCAGAGCTGGGACCGGATCAGGTTCGGAACATATCTGCGAAAGAGGTGAGGCGATGCTGCAACACTTTTCTTCTAGCATCTTTTTTTTTCCTTGACTTGCTGTCACGTAACAGTAGACTTTGTGGAGCTACAGCCTTTTTGTGCGTTCGCAGATGCGCAACATCAAGATGAAAGACTTCGAGGACTCCCTGAAGCGCATCAAACCAACCGTCAGTCCGGCCACGCTGAGCATGTACACCAAGTGGAACAAAGAATTTGGAGACACGACAGCTTTTTGAACTTCACTCTTTTCATTTGTAAGAGCTGCTTGGAACCAGGAAGTGCCGTGCTGTAAGTTCAGCAGCTTGTAATTTATGAATATTCTGACGTTTTGGGAGAATTATGCGATAATTTCCTGTTTTATGGACACTTTGCTAAAGCTACAGGCTTATTTTGTCACACTCCTTGTTCACTTTTTTGAACAAAGATACTTTATTATTTATTATTAAACCATTGCAGAAATTAATCTGAAAGGAAAATAAATAATAAATTCTTATTCTTATTAGTGATCAATGTGTTGAGGGTATTGGTCGCCTGTAATTAATCTACAGGAGTGATTAAAAACTGGAAAAACAGCTAAAGTGTTTTCTTGTTCAGTCTTTCCAGACTTAGATTTGCACTTAGATTTCATTTTAAGAACCGTTTTTAAACTAAGTTTAAAGGTTTCGGTTCTGCACGAGTTCAACGTTTCTTCCTGAATAAATCCGCTCATTAAAGTTTCCTCGACGTCACCGAGTTGTTCTTGAATGTCAAACTTTGAATTCTGCTGGAACACAAGAACCTGCAACGTGCTAAAAGTCAACTGGTTCATGTTGCTTCTCTTTGTTTTCAACACTCCCTTACAGTGAATTGATTTAGTTTATTTAATTAACTGAAGCAGAAAGCATCAGATCTTAAAGCAGTTTGTAAATACGGGTAAACCGGACTGGAGAAAGTTACGATTCTTGAAGGTAGATGGAGCTACAGCTCCGTTTTTACCTTCAACAGCTTCTTTCTTTGGCCTTTTTAATTACAACATTTTGAACATTGACCTCCAATCCAAGAAATGTGGAATTCAGGTAAATATCACGAATGAAAATTAAAAATCTAGCAGTCCTTGAAGGAACGCACATTCCTTCTGATAGTCGTGCAAACGTTTTCGATCAAGATGTTAAGAAATGCTGAAGTTGTGCTCAAACTTTTGAAGTTTTTTTTTTTTTATTAAACTTTTATTTTACCAGGAAAGAAGTCCATTGAGATTATTAATCTCTTTTACAAGGATTTCCTGAAAAATAACGAGGTGGATTCTCGGCTACTACCACACCAAGTTTTAGCTCAATAAATGTAAAGGTGACTAAATTATAGCCATTTCTGTGATAGCCAAAGTTTATTAGCTCTGGCAGCCATCTTGAATGGTAAAGGGACTGTACTTGTATAGCACCTTTCTATCTGATCAAGATACTCAGAGTACTTTATACTACAATCTGTGCCCTCATTTACCCATTCATACAGCACTCTACTAGATCTATATATCACATTCATACACCGATGAGACACATCAGAGGCAATGAGGGGTTCAGTGTCTTGCCCAGGGACACTTCGGCAAGTGACTGCTGGTGGAATCGAACCCCCAACTCTTGCATTGGAGGACGACTGCTCTAACCACTCAGCCACAGCCGCCCAATCAAGCTGACTCCAAAAGTTAATCATACATCCATTACTTTCTGAGAGTTTTATTCAAATCTGTCCAGTGGTTTATGGGATATATTTCTAACAGATGAATGGGGTTGACTCTAGTTAAGGTTTGAAGCAAAAATTATCCAAGCTTAGAGTGCGTTGGGAATGACTCTCAGCTACTACCACGCTAAATCTTAGTTCAACATCTACTTTGTAAAAATATGATTGAATTATTCCTGTTTTTGAGGTTTTCTGGCGGCCATCTTGATCCAAACTACAAAGTGCAGCTGTTTGTATTGTCCACCATCTATGAACGAGGGTAAAACGAGAACTTTAAACGGGAAAAAACTGAAATGATGAGCAGGACCAGACGTCTCGTTCCTCAGCCGCCTCTTCCAGCTTCTTCTGGGAGGACTCCAAGGCGTACCCTGGACAGCCGAGTTCTCCAGGGTCTCCTCCCATTGGACATGATAAGAACATCGTATGGGTGGCTGTGAGGTTAGAGCAGTCGTCCTTCAATTCAACCAACAGTCACATGCCCAAGTGTCCCTGGGCAAGACACTGAACCCTCATTGCCTCCGATGTGTGTCATCGGTGCATGAATGTGATAAAGCTCTGATTAGTCTTTGTATAAAGTAGAGTGCTGTATGAATGGGTAAACGAGGGCACAGATAGTGTTGTGAAGCACTTGGAGTATCTTAAGATAGAAAGGTGCTATATAAGTACAGTCCGTTTACCATTTAAGGGGACGTCTGGGGACAAACTCACCAGACGTCTGAACCACCTCAGCTGGTTCCTCCAGATGTGGAGGAGAAGTGTCTCCTGGATAACTCAACTTCTCACCTTATCTCTAAGGGAGAGTGCAGCTATCCAGCTGGGAAACCTCATTTCGACCGCTTGTATCCATCGTCTGTGCGTTCGGTCACCACCCGGCGGTGACCATAGCTGAGGGTACAGATGGGCCGGGACATGGAGAGGTTCACTCTGCTTGTGTTCACTTTCCTCCAAGCTTAGCTTCTCAATCTCTTCTTTGGTTCATAGTTTGTTAATTTTGTCCTTACAGTTTAATTCCAACTCCGTTTTAACGAGGAGAGTCTGCAAACTAGCATCCACTTTCAGAGCTAACCACACCTAGTCTCTCCCCCCTCCAGGGCAGAGACGTTGGATGGGGCATGTTTTTTTTTAACACGTCATGACTGAAGAGCTTCTTTCATGATGCCAAACAGGAATGAAGACTCAGAGGTTAAGGGTTTAGTTATCACATTTCCGTTTTTCTGTTTACTTGACCCTAAAACCAGCCTGAACGACTTCTGACTGGATTTAGTATCACGGTGAAGGAGGTTGAATCAAAGATCCACATTTTTATTCATAAGACTTTGCAAACCATTTTCCTCCCACTTCTCATTTAGCATTGTGTTGGTCTGTCATAAAATTCCAGTAAAATTACTTGGAAGTTTCTGGTTTTAACAGGTTTTTAAAATGTGGGAAAGTTCCAGGGGTGTGGATACCTTTTTAAGGCCCCCTGTAAGTCCTCCTCTAGATGTCTGTGTTGAAGTCACAGCAGCATCGATACAAGCCGTTTGTTCAGTTGGCAGATACAAGTCTTAAAACAGCGTGACCGAGGTGGTCCCAACCTCCGGATGATTGACAGCTTCTCTTATTTTATTAGCGTGTCAGAGTCCCACACCTGCACAGAGGTTCATTGATGCCTTTGCCGCGGCGTCCACTCGAGGGGAAACGAATCAGGCAGGAACCCACCCTGCAGAACGTAGAATAATAGTGACGGCGGTAAAGACCTCTCAGCTAACGCTCGCTGGTTGTTTCTTTAAGTGGCTCGTTATGAGAACAGCATGTGGACTGCAGCAGAAATGTCTCGTTTTAGGAGCAGCCGAAGTTTCAGAGATTCCTCAGACTTTGGGGATTTCTTTGGTATAGATGAGACAGATTTGGCGACGGCCTTTTCTTTCACTTAAAGCTAACATACCAAAGATGGCTAACAGCTGATGTGGGCTCAAGAAAAACATCCCAGTGAATATAAGCTGAAACGGTGTTGTTAAAGCTAAAAACAGCAAAACACCAGCTAAGAGCTTGAACTGGCAAAAAGCATCCGAAACGGAAACAGGAGAAAAACATTAACTAAAAGATAAAAAGCAAAAATAACTACCGATACATGCAAGTAATGGGCAAACTGAAAATTAAATGTAGCAAAATGTTAACTAAAGGCTGCAAAAGGCAATGATTAAAAGCTAAAAGTAGCAAAACACCAGCTAAGAGCTTGAAGTAGCAAAAGGCATCCTTAAAGGTAACATAAGGAAAACGCTAAATGTTTTTTTAAAAAGCAAAAATAACTACGTGCAAACTAAAAGTAGCAAAAGGAAAGTGTTGCAAAAGGCAAAATGACTAAAAGCTAAAAGCAGCATAACACAAACTAAAAAAAGTAAACCACAAGCTCAAAGTAGCAAAAGTTAGCTACAGTAGAAGCTAGCAGGAGGAAAGCCCCAGCGAAAATGATATAGATGTTAAATGCTAGCTAAAAGTAGCAATAAGCTAGCTAAAAGCTAAATGTAGCAAAATGTTAACTAAATGCTACAAAAGGCAAAACAGTGACTAAAAGCTAAAAGTAGTCTAACACAAGAAGCAAACAACAAGCTAAAAGTAGTAAATGTTAGCCAAAAGCTAGCAAGAGGCAAGACCCAGCGAAAAAGCTAGAAAGATGCTAAATGCTAGCTAAAAGTTTCAATAAGCAAGCTAAATGTAGCAAAAGGTTAGTAGCAAATACACTAATAAAAGCTTAAGGTAGCTAAACACTAACTAAAATCCAAAAGTTTAAAAAAATCACTAGTTAAAATGTATAAGGAGGACAACGCTAGCTTAAAGTTAGAAGAATAATGCTAGCTAAAGTAAAAATTTCACAATGCAATCTAAAAGTAGCAATGGTAAAAGCTAAATGTAGCTAAAATAGCAAAAGACTATATAAAGCTAAAAGTAATGTGTTTTCTTAAAGCAGCAGAATGATAGCTAACAATAGCAAAAGACTAACTGAAAAGAGTTAAAAGTGTAGCTAAAAGTAGCAAAAATATAACTAAAAGTGGCACACTGCTATTTAAAAGTAGCAAAACTAGCTAAAACAACAGTAGAAACATACTAGCTAAAAGCTAAAAGTAGCAAAACGCTTACCAAAAGGGGCAAAACAATAAATAAAGTTCAATATTTTAAAAAGTATAAAAGTTACACAAAAAAAAGGGAAGGAAAAAGTCCCAGCGCCCATCTTCTGAGTGAGATGATTGATTTGATATACGAATTAATAAAGTACTCAAAGTATGGAGTAGTCGGATTGCAAACATTAAACAAAACAACAGCAGCCTTTACTGAATCAGACATTGTTGGTCTTTTCTTACACTAAATGTTAAAACACCAGTGATGTCTAACATTTTCTGAGAGTCTCCTTGAAAACCTTGACTGTAATTTGTGTTGGTAAGAGGAGCGCTTCCAGCCCATTTTGGTATTTGGCCTTTTTATCACCTTGAATTCAGGGATGTGGTTCTGGGTTTACACAGCCGGAAGGCTTCGAGCGTTGCCGTTGCGGCCCAGTTTTCAGCACCGGTTGCTGCCGTCCCTCCAGCCAGCAGGTCCAAAGCAGAACTTCATTTACCACCAGAATGTTTTCTTTCTCTCTCAGGGGAGGCTGGAAGTCCAACTTCTGTCCAG